AGTGCATCTGTCCTTCCTTGTATGTCACTAGTGGAAGTGCGTCTGTCCATCCTTGTATGTCACTAGCGGCAGTGCGCTGACCCTCCTTGTATGTCACTAGCGGAAGTGCGTCTGTCCCTCCTTGTATGTCACTAGCGGAAGTGCGTCTGTCACTCCTTGTATGTCACTAGTGGCAGTGCACGTCTTTTGTATATAAATGAGGTTTTACCATAGATGTTTATTGGCAATAAGCATGCATGTCCTTTATGCGATGGGTCAATAGAACAGTGTAGGTCAGGGGCAATAACCTACGGCACGCGTGCCAGACTTGCCAGTGAGTGATTTTCAACGGCACATGGTGATGGAGGAGCACATACAATAGAAATAAATTTGTCTTATTAGATAGACTTATAGGTTTGTTGACAAGCTGAATTGAAGCCTAATTTGGCTCTATGCTAACACAACGTTGCCTCCCCCCCCCCCCCATGGTGTAGATTGAATACAACACAATAAGTCTTGTAACCAGTGCCCGTTAGGTAACTACTGCAACCCAATCTACATGACGTAGACTTTGGATTAACAAGGGAATATTTGCGGTTCCATTGAAAAGTTATATCTTAAAAGTACTGAGAAAATATTCATTATCTCTATCATATCACTTATTCTATCATATCACTTAGGCTATCATATCACTTAGTCTATTATATAAATGAGTCTATCATATCATTTAGTCTATCGCTTCCGTTAATTTTTAAACTTCTTTTTTCACCTTTCAAATATATAACTTGACAAACGCGATTGTCTCTCAGTTTTGAAATAAGGTCCACCTAATTCTATGAAGGGGTAAGAAATTTGAAATTTTGCAAGCAACTTCATTTGCATTATCACCCCTTGATCTTCGGCAATTTATTGTACAACTGTGTAATGTGTAGTGTAGGCAGTTAATTGTACAATTGTGTAATGTGTAGTGTAGGCAGTTAATTGTACAATTCTGTCATGTGTAGTGTAGGCAGGTAATTGTACAAATGTGTAGTGTGTAGTGTAGGCAGATTATTGTACAATTGTGTAGGCTTATTTAACATTCAAACACAGAAAGTCTGCTCATTAAATTTGGCAGAGAAGTGATGAACTCCTTGTTTGTGTATGTGTGTTGTTCACGTAATATTGCATCGCCCTTTGACTATATATAACCTTGATGCGCAAGTCATTTTACTTGAACAAACTTCGTCTGTAGAATTTTGATTCAGCTAAAATTAAAACTTAATCCGTGAATACTTCTAAGATATTAGCATAACCGGAAATGGAAAGATTATAAAATGTGGCCTGTTCAGCATTTTTTATTTTAAGATATTCTCGAAAATCGTTTTTCGTGGCAAATTATAAATAAAAGGTGAATTTAAAATCTAATGAGTAGCTAGTCATTCAATGGTGTGAGGCTATTATGAAACTTATACACAAAGATGACGCTGTTACATGTGGCAAGACCACGCTATTGCAAGGGATGTGTTTATAAAAATGATTGGTTAACTTTGTTTCGCTTTTAAAATAACACATGCGATAAGAGCAAGCAATCACAAGATTGCTGGTTTTGGCATACGTTTCCGCGTTAGGTTAAAAATCCTGGCCTCGCTGAATTAACGATTTCCCTTTTGACGATATTTGTATAGCTCGCAATGCCTGGACAGACGTATGCTGCCACACAGCGTGACACCCCCCACTTGTGGGAGGGAGGGGCACTACTCTAAAGGGAAAATGTCAAATTCGGCTGAGTTCACTTGAGTGTGTTTCATAACATAACAAAGCTAAAGAGCAGTGTGCCACCACCCTTCAAGTAGCAGTGTCGTATCTCGCACCGGAAACTCGTACTCATAATGAACGCATAAATATTCTGGCTAATCATTTGAAGGAGAAGATTGTCATGGATATAATCTTCTCATTAATTCTACAATTATTTTTCCAAGATTATTTCTCAGGATCTGTGCACGTGTGAGGTAGGGTGAGGGAGGGTGGGGAGTCTGAAGTGTGTGTGTGTGGGTGGGCGGGGGGGGGGATGAAGG